TGCTGAACCATCCTCCTGTCATCGATGACGTTTTTTCTCAGAACAAGTATTTTAGGTCAAATAATGATTTTAATCATAGTAGAAATTATTGATAATAATGATAATAAGGAGGAATTATCCATCATTTTAGAGAGTACATGGCAAAACAAATTACCATAAACAAAAGTCATGGCAGATGACGTCTTTAGTCTGCTTTCAAGCCGTGTGACTCGACCTGGTTCATTCTCGAACTCCCCCTATTGTCTATCTTTGGTAATACATATAAACTCGGGCACTTCAGCTACGATCCATCCATCCATCCATTTTCATCCATTCATGCATTTTCATCCATCCATCCATTTTCATCCGCTTATCCGGTACCGGGTCGCGGCGGCAGAAGTTGCCACCCAAATCACACTGCACCGTACCAACCCCTCCGAACCTTCCTGCAGGTGGTGTGTCCACTGGAAGGACCCAAACCGCCCTAACAAGGATTCGATCTCGCCCAGAAGGTGAGGGGTTCCACACCAATGACAGAAACATTGACCCTGAGCCACAGCGCCACATTTCAAGTACTACCCACACCTTATTAAGTTAAATTATCAATTGAGAGATAATATATTTGTATTAAATATATTTGATTTATTATGTACTGATGAGAAAGTTAATCAATTTAGTTACACATTCATTTCGGTGTCTTGTCTTTCGTCCTTTAATTCCTCATCGCAGATGGAAAGATATGTTAATCAACAACATTCGAACACCTACATTTGAACTCCAATTTGAACTGGTCTTTTTTTTTTTAATCATTTACAGTTTCAGCAAAAAACTAATCAATTACATAGCCCTCTGCAGAATTTACTCCTCAAAACCACACTTTTTGTCTGCTACCACTAGGTGTCCTTACAGTACATCATCTGGAACTCCATCACCAACACGTACTCAAAGGTGAGTACAATTAAGTCTGAAGTTGTACCACGCATTCCACATCTTTAAGATGTACTTTTTAAGTTTTGTGTCGAACCAGTTCAGAACAAACATAATTTAACTAACAAAGGAGAAAAAGAGGAGGAGAAGGAGGAGGAATACATTGGACAACTTAATATATTGTTGTATTAATTTGAGTATTCTGACTTTTAGCGGCATCTGTTGAAAACCTAGTAGTATTCTTTGGAGGCTTATACCAGAACAGCTTCTGCTGCTGCTCAGACTTTATCTGTCAGAATATCAACACCAGAGACTGATCAAATATGTTCAGTTGTAGTTTTATTTGTTGTTTTATATTATTTATTTTGTTTGTAAATGTATATATACATTTAACTGCAGAATATTCCACAATTCTTCTTGAGGAAATTTCACCAGGTATCAAATCAGGGCTTTAATCAATAACAATAGAAATCACCACAAGTTATTGAGTCATGTGACAAGTTGAGAGGCTTTTATTAAATTAAGGGTTTTTAATTAATCTTCTAGGTAAAACCTTAAACACAACACAGTTCAGAATGAGAGGCTACTGTTGCTTCCTTTTCGTCATCCTAATTGTTTTTTTTTGTTTTTGTTTTTTTGTTTTTGTGCTATAGATGACATCTGTCTCAATACAAGTTATTTCCGTACAATAATGGTTTTAATCAAAATACAAAATATTTCCAGGGATAAGTTCACTGTGACATTCTTATAAATATAAGAAGGAATTTTCCATCATTTTTGAGTGTACATGGGAAAATTGATTTCCAAAAAAAAAAACTCATGGCAGATGATGCCCTTGGACTGCTTTCAAGCCATGTGACTGCACCTGGTTCATTCTCGAACGCCCCCTATTCTCTACCTTTGGTAATTCATATAAACTCGGGGCACTTCAGCTCCGATCCATCCATCCATCCATTTTCATCCGCTTATCTGTTACCGGGTCGCGGGCGCAGCAGTCGCCACCCAAATTACACTGCATCATAGCAACCCCTCTGAACCTTCCTGCAGGTGGTGAGTGATTTTTTGCAATTTTTAACCTTTACAGTTTCATCCAACAACTGATCATTTACATCGCCTTCTGTAGAATTTACTCCTCAAAACCACACTTTTTGGAACTCCATCACCAACACGTACTCAAAGGTGAGTACAATTAAGTCTGAAGTTGTACCACGGATTCCACATCTTTCAGATGTACTTTTTCAGTTTTGTGTTGAACCAGTTCAGAACAAACAGAATTTGTTTGAAAACCAGATGGCAAAACTCTGACTTAAAACGTTCTGCATATCAAAAGCCGTAGTCAGGGCTTATAAGTTAGCTTCTTCTTATTTGTTTAACATTTATTTAAAAATATCACGATCACTTGCCATTCATTTTAAGAAATAAAGAAGAAGAAGTGTTGTAGAGAAGAGCAAATTAAATGCGTGGAAAAGTAATTATTTTGTTGTGACTTACATTATGCTGCCAGTGAGTTTTATTATTAATTAAATCTGAGTAGTTTGCAACTTTTAACGTTAATGTAGAAGTTAATATTCTACTAGAGCATACGTGTCAAACTTAAGGCCCGGGGCCAAATGCGGCTCACCAAGCTGTTTTGTGTGGCCCGCGGGAACTTAAAAACCATTTGGTAAAGTCCATGAAGTGGAGTTTCTTAACCTTAATAATTAAAAAACAATTATAACACAGCAATGAACAATATTTGTAGCTTGAACAAATAATAATCAATTGTAGAAACATTTAACATGAGTCTGTTATGGAGTAGTTACATCTATACCAGTGGTCCCCGACCTTTTTTATTCCAAGGACTGCTCAGCCAGTACCACCCGTTACTACAGACCGGTACCAAGGTACCGAGCTTTTTTTTTCTTTTTTTTTTAAAAAAAAAAAACATCTTTTAGACTCTATTCTGTTAGTAGTAGAGTCTGAATGACCTGTTATTTTAAAATATTGCCAGATTATCTTTAAATAAAGAGAGTAAATTGATATGACTGGATTTTATTTGAATGAAATAATTTAGTAAAAAATTAGTACATTTTTTCCACCTTGTCCCACTGTACCCCAGTCCCAAATGACCTATGGACTGGTACTGGGCCACAGACCAGGGGTTGGGGACCCCTGATCTATACAGTCTTCCAGTTACAACCACCACTCCTCCTGTGCGTAGTCAAATTGCTCCACCGCTGTCCCCCTCAGATGAACCAAATCAGTGAAGGTTGACAACGAGTCTATAGAATACAACTGTTTGTACGAAAGTAAAAGGAGAAAAGGAAAAGGCATGTTTTTTATCAAATATGTGTCGACTGTGTGTTATAGTTATAATAATCCAACCATTTTCTACAAGTTATACCACAATATTAACAATAATAAAAGTAATAATACTAAAAAGAAGAAGAGAAGGAGAAGGAGGAGGAATACATTGGACAACTTAATATATTGTTGTATTAATTCGAGTATTCTGACTTTTAGCGGTATTTGTTGAAAAAAACCTAGTAGTATTCTTTGGAGGCTTATACCAGAACAGCTTCTGCTGCTGCTCAGACTTTATCTGTCAGAATATCAACACCAGAGACTGATCAAATATGTTCAGTTGTAGTTTTATTTGTTGTTTTATATTATTTATTTTGTTTGTAAATGTATATATACATTTAACTGCAGAATATTCCACAATTCTTCTTGAGGAAATTTCACCAGGTATCAAATCAGGGCTTTAATCAATAACAATAGAAATCACCACAAGTTATTGAGTCATGTGACAAGTTGAGAGGCTTTTATTAAATTAAGGGTTTTTAATTAATCTTCTAGGTAAAACCTTAAACACAACACAGTTCAGAATGAGAGGCTACTGTTGCTTCCTTTTCGTCATCCTAATTGTTTTTTTTTGTTTTTGTTTTTTTGTTTTTGTGCTATAGATGACATCTGTCTCAATACAAGTTATTTCCGTACAATAATGGTTTTAATCAAAATACAAAATATTTCCAGGGATAAGTTCACTGTGACATTCTTATAAATATAAGAAGGAATTTTCCATCATTTTTGAGTGTACATGGGAAAATTGATTTCCAAAAAAAAAAACTCATGGCAGATGATGCCCTTGGACTGCTTTCAAGCCATGTGACTGCACCTGGTTCTTTCTCAAACTCCCCCTCTTCTCTACCTTTTGTAATTTCTTTGGTAATTCATATAAACTCGGGGCACTTCAGCTCCGATCCATCCATCCATCCATTTTCATCCGCTTATCTGTTACCGGGTCGCGGGCGCAGCAGTCGCCACCCAAATTACACTGCATCATAGCAACCCCTCTGAACCTTCCTGCAGGTGGTGAGTGATTTTTTGCAATTTTTAACCTTTACAGTTTCATCCAACAACTGATCATTTACATCGCCTTCTGTAGAATTTACTCCTCAAAACCACACTTTTTGGAACTCCATCACCAACACGTACTCAAAGGTGAGTACAATTAAGTCTGAAGTTGTACCACGGATTCCACATCTTTCAGATGTACTTTTTCAGTTTTGTGTTGAACCAGTTCAGAACAAACAGAATTTGTTTGAAAACCAGATGGCAAAACTCTGACTTAAAACGTTCTGCATATCAAAAGCCGTAGTCAGGGCTTATAAGTTAGCTTCTTCTTATTTGTTTAACATTTATTTAAAAATATCACGATCACTTGCCATTCATTTTAAGAAATAAAGAAGAAGAAGTGTTGTAGAGAAGAGCAAATTAAATGCGTGGAAAAGTAATTATTTTGTTGTGACTTACATTATGCTGCCAGTGAGTTTTATTATTAATTAAATCTGAGTAGTTTGCAACTTTTAACGTTAATGTAGAAGTTAATATTCTACTAGAGCATACGTGTCAAACTCAAGGCCCGGGGCCAAATGCGGCTCACCAAGCTGTTTTGTGTGGCCCGCGGGAACTTAAAAACCATTTGGTAAAGTCCATGAAGTGGAGTTTCTTAACCTTAATAATTAAAAAACAATTATAACACAGCAATGAACAATATTTGTAGCTTGAACAAATAATAATCAATTGTAGAAACATTTAACATGAGTCTGTTATGGAGTAGTTACATCTATACCAGTGGTCCCCGACCTTTTTTGTTCTAAGGACTGCTCAGCCAGTACCAACCGTTACTACACACCAGTACCAAGGCGCTGAGCTTTTTTTTTTAAAATAAAAACATCTTTTAGACTCTATTCTGTTAGTAGTAGCGTCTGAATGACCAGTTATTTTAAAATATTGCCAGATTATCTTTAAATAAAGACAGTAAATGGATATGACTGGATTATTTGAATGAAGTAAATTAGCAAGAAAATTTAGTACATTTTTTCCACCTTGTCCCACTGTAGCCCGGTACCAAATGACCTATGGATTGGTACTGGGCCGCGGACCGGGGGTTGGGGACCCCTGATCTATACAGTCTTCCAGTTACATCCGGCCTTTCAAGGGGAGCTGTATTGATGATGTGGCCCTCGGTGAAAATGCGTTTGATTAGAGAGTCTAAAACGTGAAGATGCACTAAGTACGCACAAGTAGTAATATCCTGCTTCGCCGACATTTGGCGCAATGAATCATGGGAGAACTCTGTTCACCGTCTTCGTTAGTACTAGTAGCGTTACATCTTTACCTAAAGATATTCTCTGTTCATGTGGTCCGCTGACACAGCGCAACAAACTCTCGCGGAATTAGCGACAAGACTCTTAAAATGCTATCACATGGCTATTTCCGGTTCAATGGGGAGTCTCTGACACGGGGTGGAAGTGTGAAGATGAATGGATGATATATTATTTTGATTTTTAAGCCGATGGTTCCTCGGTACATGGTTAAAGAAGCTAACTTCCCCTCGCTAGCTGACCGCTGACCGAGAGTAGAACAGCTCCTGGTCACATTAAATAAAATTGACACGGAGGGAAGGAGGAGGATGGCGGAGCCGGGAGATCTACCACTGCAGTCATCTCCAGGAGACTTAGAAAGTTCGGGTACACCGAGTTTTTCACATGAAAACGGACATGTTGGCAGTCCAGATGACACTCTGTCCCCGACCTCTGTGATTTACTTCAAAGAGGCTTTAAACACTGTGTCCAACGTAAGGTTTGGACAGACGGGCTCGTTGTCTCCTACTACACTTCGACAATATGACTTCAAGATTGAACGATATGGATCGAAGCGCAGAAGTAAGTACAAGTGACAAAAACACAAACTATGTACATGCTGGTAGACTTGATAATTTGCTAATGTAGTCAGCTAACTTCATACAGTCCCTTAACAAACGTCTTCCTTCTTCCTCGTGACTCTAGAATCTAGTAGAACTTTTTTTTAACAAGTTAGAGATGACAATTGAAATTGTGACACTATATCAACTTCATATCAACGCAAGTTAGTAATTAGAGCGTGTAGTCAAAGGCGTATATGTTTTGTTCAGACATTGGAAGTTACAACTGTTTTCACTTGAATATAAAGATTCACCGTAAACCGTTCCCAGCAGGTTGGATTGTTTGTAAACAAACAGCTTGTTATTACCGCGAATCTCATTCTCGATGAGTGACGTAAGAGGATTTAAATGCCTTAATTCAAAAATTCGTTTATTTTCATTTAATGTAAATTAAATTCGGTAAATTGGTCGATACTATTTCCACAAGATCCAGCTGAAGATTCAGCTTTAATTGGCTCACTGGATACGACAAAAGTCCCTTGTGACAAACGTGTCACAGCAATGAAATAATCTCACTGGGATAGGCTGAGGTCACGTCTGGCTCCCTTGGTGGTTTCGGATCTGTTGTGTGTCTTCATACAGTTCTTACACATCAGCAAAACTTAAACAGTGCCATTTTTTAACACAGAAATCAGAAAAGTATTAATCTGTAGTCAGAAAATTGCTCTATTTTATTATTTTTAGTCTTTCCGTAAACCTCCTAAAAAGAATGTAAACACAGGGCTGTGTCACTGCTGATGTTACTACACAACATTCACTCCTTTTTGGAGTGTGTTTGGACACAACTGCTTTGTGTTTGTTATGAACCAGGCTACCATGCACACACGATGTCATGCATGATGTTGTTAATTCAAATGTTGTTGGGTTTTTTTATGAATATTTTTGCTTAACACTAACTCCGAAGCAACAAATACAATAATTAGTGGACATTTATTTGTTACACGTATGTGTAGAAATATGTCTGTTTAGTCCTCGAGTGACCTTGCAACTTGCATTTTTTGTTAAGTCTTAGGACCACTGTTACCCTGAGGGTGTCCTTCTGGATGTGTCATTATGTTTCTTGAGCTGTAAATTGAACTGCTGCTGAGCATGCCGGCCGTATAATCACCTAATCAATCCTGTTAAATGATTATCACAGTGTTTAAACATTGTAATTTGTGGATTTATATCTGCCTATTTGTGTCACTGTCGATGGTAGATACATAAAAAAACCTGGACATTTGGCTGTTTATTTTTAAACAGAGAGGGACTTTCAATTCCTGACCCTCTGGCTTTGCTTGTGTTTAAGGGTGTCTTTAGCATTGAAATTTGAGTAATTAGAATAAGTAATGCTACTGGTGTATGCTACATAGTAATGCTATGATGTAATGATGTGCAAGTGCTTGAATCCATGACAAAACTATCATGTACAACATTTAGCAGCTGAATGGAACGTTCAAACCAGTTATGTTCCTCTGGTTTAACCTTAACTTCAGGGTTTCTACAGTTTTTTGCTTCTTCTTGTCCAAAACAGGACAGTCAAACGTTCAAATGTTTACTTAATATTGAGTAGCACAACTGGTCAATCATGAAATTTTCAACCGTATAAATTCTTTTTAAATGACTTTACTAACCTTTACCTCTACTATTGTTCAGAAAATCAGGTTGTATTGTTGTTTGAAAAGTCCACTTTAGTCTTTCAGATATTTTTTAAATTAGCTGTAAATGACACACAGGATAGTTTTTTTTTTTTACATTTTGCATCAGGAAATGCCGAGTGGTTATTTCCATCCAGGGTATTTGGCCTTGTTATTCATTCCTTGTATAATGTGCTGTTGTGCTGCTGCTGCAGGCAGTTCAGTAATTGCCATTTCCAATTTCCAAATAACAGGAATCTGTTTTAGGTCAGAGGCCACTGTTGAGAGACAGATGAGTCCTCTGCTGCATCATTTGCACTGGTTGTGCACTCATGGGACTCCCATCACACCAACCCCCTTCTTTTTTTTACGCATGCACCATCTGCTCACGTGATCTGTGTGTTGCTGTACCGAGCACTGCTGTCAGCCATCTTGGTCAACACCCACCGCAGTACATTCACTGCGGTGCACAGGCAGTCCAATCAGAGCAGAGGGGTGAGCTGACTGGTGGAGGGGCTGTGTGATTTCCAGCACAGTGCTCTCTTGCATTTTAAACCCCCTCCCGTCTGCACAAAAGGGACAACAGGAGATTGAAAAAGGAGGTGGAGGAGGAGAAGGCAAAAGCAGCCTTCCCCAAGACGGCGGCACATTTCGCTCAGTTGTAGGAGGGGGAAGAGAAGGATGCAGACATAAAGGAGAGGAGACGCAGCACGCTTTCAAACACCTGCTAAAAGCTGCTGTTGGCCTTCCCCCATCCTCGTCTCTCTCTTCTTTCGTGCGCCTTCACTGGCCTTTGAGACAAAACCCCACTCCTGTTTTTTTTCTCCTCGGTGATCTTTGTTTTGCCTTACATCAGCCGAGTCATCATGTCTGATCTGACGCCTCAGAGTGAAACCCCAACTCCCACCACTGACAAGATCACACAGGCTGCCAGGGAAACCATTTATCTCTGCAACTTTCGTGTCTCTGTCGATGGCGAGTGGCTGTGCCTTCGCGAGCTCAATGACATCTCGCTCACACCAGACCCAGAGCCGGCTCATGAAGGTAATGTGCTGGATTAGCTCAGCATCTGAGGATGTTTCAGGCTGTGTCTGATCTGTCTTTGGGCGTGGTGTCACACCAAGTCTTCAGAGGCTGCTTGTTGCACACAGTCAACTGTTGTATTTGGTTTTTGTCTGGGCCGTGTCCTAGTGGATTTCATGTGAGGTGTTTGGAGTCGGATCACACAGTAGGTGGATGCTGCTAGTAAATCAGGCCAGGACGAGCAGCAGAACAACCCGGAAGTGGCAGGCGTGTTTATGAGCCCGGAGTAAATCTCATTTATGGCAGGCGGATAAATGTGATGGATACTGTTTGGCATCTGTTTTTTTCCTACACCTTGGAGATGGTGGCGCTGTAATAGATGGGTTAAAAAGCTTTCTTTTGTTTTTTTTTGGGGGGGGGGTGAGGGGTTTCCTGTTCTGTTGAGCCATGATCATCATTATTTAAGATGTGTCTTAAATTGTAATCTTTGTGTTGTTGTCTTTATCTAACACACAATAACAGTAAATATTCATCAGGGACCTGCAGTAAGATTTATCTTAATCTTAATAGATGAGAATTTAAATATATTGTTTATATTCTGGTTTAAAGGAGAATCTGTTTTTTTTTATTGTTTTTTTTTTTTTTATTGTTTTATTTCATTATTTTTAAGTTGAACTCCAGGATTCAAACCTTAAATCCTTTGGTACTGAGTCACCTACCACTAGGCCCTACGCAGAACTCTTCTACACAAATGTTGACAGTCATGTCCTGCCACACCTCATCATCCACAGATAATCCCACAATTTTCATGAGAACGAGCCTGAAACAAATCAGAATTATCTAAAAAAGGTTGGCAAATCAAACTTTTCTCATCGACTTGACCTCCTAAGAACATTTCCTGGAAGAAAGTTAGAGATGAGATCAAACAGGCTGACATAAATCCTCCTAGCTTTGTTCATGAGCTAACCTGTTGTGGTCTATAATGTTAGATAAAGTTATTATATATATACATATATAT